GTCTAACAGTTTCACTACAGCAGTCTTTCACTGTTTCGTCAGAGTTATCCCAGTGTACCCTCCTCCCATCGATTGTGCATTTCTTTCTCAGTCTTTTTGTATGTAGGAAGGCTACCGATTTTTGTGTGTTAATTTTGTGTCCTGCTACTTTGTTGAAAGTTTTTATCAGCCTTAGAAGTTTCCTGAGTTTGTATAACCTCATACTGTTCACAAATAAAGATAGTTTTACTTATTTCTTTACTACTTGTACCTCCTTGACCTCATATTACTCTAGCTAAGACTACTAGCACTATATTAAACAGGTAAGGACATACTTGTCTTGTTCCTGATTTTAGTAGAAAGGCTTTCTAGTTTAACTCAGTATTTATCCCACAATAGTCACTGAGGAAATTGGAAGTCTTTCCATCTGCAGCTCTTGACTGCTTTGGAATATTCTTTCTAAATGTGTCAATCAGTCATTTTCAAACTCTTCCCTTAGAACTCCAAACCTCCTTATAGGCATGCAAGACACCTAGATATGAGGTTGGAACTGGAATTTAAAATCCTCAAACCCTGTGCTCCTTTAACTTTTAACTGTTTTGTTTTCTTTGAGACTTCTAAGTTTAGCTATAAGAATATGATCGAGAAGTTCTTATGTATCAATGCTCCTCAGCCCTCCCTGTGAACTTGTAAGATGAAATGCTCATATACCCCAGCTTCAGAGATGAGGTCTGTTCATAAAGAAATCAGTAAAGAAGAACCAAGTGCCATCAACTACTGCTTATCTACCCTGTGACTCTCTGTCCGTAATTTATGGTGGAAGTAGTAAGATATTTCCTCTTGGTATGGCTCAGCTACTATTGATCTGTTTTACTAGCTTATTCATTGGAAAGTCAAATTGACATTGCTAAATTAGTTTCAGAAAGTCATTTAAACAATCAGGCTATGTTCTGAGAATCCAACTCAGGCCCTTTGCTTATACAAGTGTCACTGTACCACTGAGCAGTCTCCCAGCCCTGCTTCCTTTGTATGGATTGGAGTGCAGGCGTGTCTTCCCTTGCAGAAAGAACATGGTAGTTCCTCAGAGATATTAGAGTCCTAGAATCATGATTTCACTTGTGCCTTAGAGTTGGAAGGAAATTCTATTGAGAGAAACTGAAAGACAGAATGGAGCCATAGACCAACACTCCCACGAGGAAACTCAAGCTTTTCCAGTTTTATGAATCAAAATCATATAGACATGGCTTTTGGCTGTGAATCTGGAATTTTTCATCTCCCTGAGCTTTGGGGGATTATATAGATCGTAATTCTCTCCTGTCTAAAATCCTCTCATGTCTTCTCATTGGAGTAAGAATTAAACCCAGACTCTTTATTGTGGCCTGCAATATATGTAGTCTAGTCACAGGCGTCTTCCTTGCTGTCATCCTTCTTGTCCTTGCTTGTCAGCTTCCCCTGTAGGCTCATTCCTGTCCCAGCCCTTCTGGACCTTCCACCCCCTCTGCCTATGAAATCCTATGTGGCCAGCCCCTTCTCAAGCACAAAACCTCAACCCTTCCCAACTTTCAGCAACCCCTTCCTTGGCTGTGCTCCTCTTCTGGCATCGGAAGTACTATCTTTATGATACTACTCATTTTCTGGTTTTTCTTCAGATGTCTGTACATATCTGATGTATTTGTTTTCTGTGTATGATGTTTTGCCTGCCTGTATGTCTGTGCACTACATGCATGCAGTACCCACAGAGGTCAGAAAGGGCATTGGAGCCCCTGGACTGGAATTACAGAAGGTTGTCAGCTGTCATGCAGGTACTGAAAATTAAAGCCTGGGTTCTCTGGAAGAGCAGCCAGTGCCCTTAACTGCTCTTAACCATCTCTCCAGCCCTTCTCTTAGACCAGCAATTCTCAACCTGTGAGTCACAACATACCTCAAAATACCATCAGAAAATACAGACGTTTACCTGCCTCACAGTTCACAACTAGCAAAATTTTAGCCAAGTTATGAAGTAGTATCAAAAATAATTTTATGTCTGGGCCACTACAACATGAGACACTGTATTAAAGGGTTGCAGCATTTTGAAAGGTTGAGAACTACTGGCTTAGACTATAACCCTCTAAGTCTAGAATAAAACCTGCTTATTAATAAATAATAAGTATGAAATGACAGACAAACAGATAGATGGGAGAGTAAAGTCCCTCTGTTTCCCCATCATCCACGTACAGGAACTTGAAACTTTCTAAAGCAGAGTTCAGAGAGTAGGGTGTGGTTAGTCTGACCTTAGATCTTTCCTTTTAACTGAGTACACTAATGTTCTCCTCTTCTACAAGTGTTCATCTGGTTACATTTTAGCTGGAATAGCATTTTAAATCTGCTCACTTAAGCTGGACTATTTGACTAATTTTTTATTTTCTAGGTGGAATCAATAGTGGTGGACAGGACATCACTGCTGTGTGAGGGATACAGGAAACATAGCCTGCAGTGCACACTTACAGCACTGCTGTGTGAGGGATACAGGAGACACAGCCTGCAGTGCACACTTACAGCACTGCTGTGTGAGGGATACAGGAGACACAGCCTGCAGTGCACACTTACAGCACTGCTGTGTGAGGGATACAGGAGACACAGCCTACAGTGCACACTTACAGCACTGCTGTGTGAGGGATACAGGAAACATAGCCTGCAGTGCACACAGCACTGCTGTGTGAGGGATACAGGAGACACAGCCTGCAGTGCACACTTACAGCACTGCTGTGTGAGGGATACAGGAGGCACAGCGTGCAGTGCACACTTACAGCACTGCTGTGTGAGGGATACAGGAAACACATCTGCAGTGCACACTTACAGCACTGCTGTGTGAGGGATACAGGAGACACAGCCTGCAGTGCACACTTACAGCACTGCTGTGTGAGGGATACAGGAGACACAGCCTGCAGTGCACACTTACAGCACTGCTGTGTGAGGGATACAGGAAACATAGCCTGCAGTGCACACTTACAGCACTGCTGTGTGAGGGATACAGGAGGCACAGCCTGCAGTACACACTTTCAGCACTGATATGTAGGGGATACAAGTGGTTCAAGTTTAGAAAATGCAGAAGTTGATTAGTGTTGGAACAGCTTTGGAGAGAGCTGGAGGTGTGTGATAAAGAACTGTGTAAGAAGCCAAAGAAGTTAGACTCTGTGGGCTTGTGGGACTCTCTCTGTGGGACTCCATAAAAGATTTGCTGTATTTTGCAAAATCCTTGTAATGGCAGTGTAGGAAATGGAATACAAGTGGATTTCAGGCAAATACATGCACACACATAGGTTATCTGGAATAATCCTGAGAAATAAAAGCACTGCTGGAGTTATCTCCATCCCCAGCTTCAAGTTGAAGAACTGTACTAATAGAAACAGCATAGTATTGATATAAAAACCACATTGATCATTGAAATTAGAGTAGAAAAAAAAAAGAAATTAGAGTAGAAAGCCTGGGCCTAATAACACACTGGAGAAAAGACAGCATCTTCAGCAAATGATGCTGGTCAAACTGGATGGCTGCATGTGGAAGAATGCAAGGATATTCATACTTATCCTATTCAAAGCCAACACCAAGTGCACCAGTGCCCTCACCAGGTATTCTGAATCTCAGAAAAGAGCGTAGGGAACAGGCTTGAATGCATCGGCCTAGCCTAGGAAAGGACTGTCTGAACAGGGTCCCCAGAGCACTGGCACTAAGACTAATGGGGCCTTGTGAGACTGTAAGACAAAGGACACTCACCTTTGAGGAAAGAGGCAACCTACCAGATGGGAAAGGAAAACAAATAACCCAATTTAAAAATGGAGTATAGAGCTAAAGAGAGCTCTTGACCACAAATGGCTGAGAAATACTTTTAAAATGTTGAATATCCTTACCCACCAGTGGACCTGAGACTAGATAGATAATGGGGCCAAAAAGAAAAAAAAATTGACACAGCAATAAAATGGCTCATATGGCATACTGCTACACCTGTGTATCAGTGAATTGCTCAGCCCTCATCTGAGAGATACCCACAGCAACATGCAGAGTCACAGTAAGAGACTTTGGAGTGCTCATCCCTGACACCGTGCCTCTCAAGGCTCAGGGTCTATGCTGAGTGGGGGCAGAAACATTTAAGAGCCAGAAGTAGTGCATGAGTTTAAGGAAACATCTGTTTCCAGACACAACAGATTGGATCCACATCCAGGCTCCCAAAGACTATGACACCATGCACAAGACACCCTAGCCCAAGCCACACAAGACCCAATCATGAAGGAGATACATTGGGCACAAAGTCTCACCCCTACCCAAGAAGCTTTTCCCAGATGAGAACTGCTGGGAAATGGAGTACAATGTAGCAGCCACGCCCCAGGGCACGCCGTGAGCAGGAACAGTCAGACAACCCAGATTACACCATGGATTTTAGAGGCCTTTTCCTTTTGTGATTTTTGTCGTTTTAAGAGAAAAAGAACATAAAATTGGGGAGAATCTGGGAGGCTTTGGGGAATGGAACAGAATATGATAAAAATAAAAATATACAAAATTCTCAGAGAGTAAGAAAAATTTAAACATAAAACATTTTTAACTTATATAAAAATTCATAGGTTCTGGGGTCATTTTGTTGTTTTTAATTTTTTAGATTTTATTTTATGTATATGTTTATATGTATATACATACATGTACATACAAGTACTCTAACCACTGAACCACCTCTCCAGCCCTTGATTTTTTTTTTTTTGATTCAGAGTTTCATTGTGTAGCCCTGGCTGATTAGAAATTTCCTACATAGACAAAACTTTTGAACTCAGGATATCCTCCTGCCTCTTCTTCCCCAATGCTGTGTTTAAGGGACCATGCCCAGTCTTGCTGCAAATTTTAAATTAGTGATATACTTACATGTTATTTGAAGACTAGAGGTTAGCACTTTAAGTTTATGGGGAAATAGAATGTGCAATTAAATGTACGTACTAGTGAATGTACTAATTACACCTGAAGTGTTTCTAGACTCGAAAGTTATTTTCTTCTTGCAGTATAACCCATGTAGAAATGAATGTTATGATGCACTTTATATATGGAGGAACTTTGAATTTTCCAGAAAAGGCTAATGTTGGGTATGTATTATTTTTGGTAAGTTTAAACATAAAAGTTGTGTGGGTTCTGTTTTGTTGAACTATTTTGCAAAGAGTCAGTGAAGTAGAAACTTCACTTTTATTGTCTGTTTTGCTATATTTTTATTGTATTTAGGGAATCTGTAAAAACAGTAAGTATGAGGCTGCAGAGACGGCTCAGTGGTTAAGGACTTGTTGCTCTTGCTGAGGAGCCTCGTTCAGTTCTCTCAGCACCACATGGAGGCTCCCACCTGTAACCCCAGCTCCAAAAGATCCTGTGCCCTCTTCTGGCCTCCAAGGGCATCAGTCATGCATGTGGTGCTCAGACATGAACAAGCAAAACACTCATGCACATAAACTTTAAAAAGAGTGTAGCCTTTAGAGCACTATCCTTTGTTCTGTATGTGGATATGTGAGGGGAATGCTGTGTCTCCATATCCTCTCTCCCTCCCTTCTCCCCTCCCTCCTCAACACAAAGCAGTGCTGTGTCAGTGCTAACGATTTTGACCTAAGAATGTAAAGCAAAAAGTTAGATTCCTTTTTTTTCTGAATGTACAATATTATCAAAAAGTTATTATGCATTATTCTTTGATTTTACCTTTGAGAATTGTCAGTTAATATCTGTTTATTTTAGTCAGATACTGATCGTGGCTGATATGTATGGACTGGAAGGATTAAGAGAAGTAGCAATCTATGTTTTAAGAAGAGATTACTGTAATTTCTTTCAGAAGGTAATTGTTAATTCTAACAAATCACCAGTTAATATGTGTTAGATTTTGAATTTTGGATGCAGTCATGCTTAAAAATGTCACAATTTAGCTAGTAAGCACTCTTGCTGAAAAATAACACAAGAAATGCTTATGAAAAGCAGAAATTAAGTATAATCACTTTAAGAAAAGTCAAACCGATATGAGAATTTATTGACAGTATATAAAGAATCTTGTATAATTCAAAGATAGAGTATATAGCTAGGCCTCATGTTGAGTTTGGCAATAACTGGCTCCATTTCTCCAAGAACCCCACAAAGGCTTTGTTGGCTCTCTCCTTTCCCTTTGTTGTGTCTGAGCACAGCCTTTGTCTGATGGAGTGTGAGCATGTTTTGGTTTGCACAGATTTACTGTCTAAAGAAAGAGCCTTTGTACACTAGTCTTAGATTTGTCATTCTTTAATACACTTTGTGAATATAAGTTAATTCATATGTTTATGATTTTCTTATTTTGCAAATTTTCTATAATTGATTGAGATTATATTTATTTAACAATGAACAAAAACTCTTAAAAGAATTGTTCAGATTGTGTTTCTTTCTTATTAGGTACTTGATACAATATTATAAATTGTCTGTTTTTACATTGGATAGGACCTTCTCTGTCCCCTGAATTAGAGTAATGTAAGGGCAGTTCCCTACCCTCTCAGTCCCTCCTTAAGCACATAAGGAGCTCATAGCCATTTAGGCCCCTTCCACAGGAGTCAGACCCAGAGAACAGAAGAATGGGAGGCTGAACCATGCTCTCTCTATTCCATTCTAGATCTCCCACCCACAGGTTTAGTCTGAGAGGAGGGAAAGGCTTGGGTCAGATATTTCAGAAGTATTAAAGCAGCACTCTACTAGAAAAAAAGATTTGACAGATGTGGTTAAAAGTAATAGTTGGGGAAAATATTTTGTGTTAGTATCCATTCTGAGCTGCAATTCTTTAAGAAACTGATTTACACCTGCCTACATAGTAAAGTTCTCTTCTATAAGTAATCCTTACACACATGTGGCTCTATTTTTAGTATGTTCATGAGTGTTGAGTTAAATGCAGCTCCTTGTATTATACTTTCAGTAATCTACTTAGTGCTTTGTTAATTGGATAGATCATTTGCTGACTAATGGGTTTGAGGGCAGCTCACACATGATGTGAGAACCTAGCCATCACACTGAGAACCACAAGATCAGCACTTACTAGTTCTAGTGTCTGAAAACAAAGGGCGGGGGGAAGGAAGTATTTTGTTCTGTCAGACATGCTTACTACATTTACTGTAAACTGGGTTGTTTTGAGAAGATGATTCCCAATTCTGCTGAACTAATTTTCAACCATTACTACTTTGTAGACTTTAATATATATCTTCATAAGTGAAGCTTTGAATATGTTACCATATGTTAAAAAACTTTTAGTCTTCATTTATACACCATAGTGACTGGCCTTTAAAGTCAACACACACACACACACACAAATAAATGAATAAGCGCAGGCAGTGGTGATGCCATGATTTTAATCTCAGCATTCAGGAGGCAGAGACAGGTGTATATATGAGTTCAAAGCCAGCCTGGCCTAGAAAGTGAGTTCCAGGACAGCCAGGGCTACACAGAGAAACCCTGTCTTGAAAATAAGTAAATAAATAAATAAATAAATAAATAAATAAATAAAATGTAAAAAGAAAAGCATTTGGCAAGCCAAGGACGGGTAAGATTCTGCACAGAGCCCTACCAACCTAAGACATAAGTGCATTGCTTTTGGTAATGCATATTCCATGACAGGTAAGGAAGGCATTCTTGTCAGAACGACCTAAGACAGGCTCAGTAATGTTAATGAAATAACAAAGGGGGAGATGTGGAGAGCTTTGGGGGGAAGGCTGCTTGCCAAGAATCTGACATGGGCCAAGGACAAGGAACTGGGCTGCTTGGGAGAAATATGACATTGGCCATATGACATATGGTTATATGTTCGAGCATCTTCTGGGTACATGCCTAGGAGTAGTATAGCTGGATCCTCAGGTAATGCTATGTCCAATTTTCTGAGGAACCTCCAGACTGATTTCCAAAGTGGTTGCACCATCTTGCAGTCCCACCAACAATGGAGGAGTGTTCCTCTTTCTCCACACCCTCGCCAGCATCTACTATCACCTGAGTTTTTAATTTTAGCCATTTTGACTGGTGTGAGATGGAATCTCAGGGTTGTTTTGATTTGCATTTCCCTGACGACTAAGGATACTGAACATTTCTTTAGGTGCTTCTCGGCCATTCGAGTTTCCTCAGTTGAAAATTCTTTGTTAAGCTCTATACCCCATTTTTTAATAGGGTTATTTGGTTGTCTGGAGTCTAATTTCTTGAGTTCTTTGTATATACTAGATATTAGCCCTCTATCGGATATAGGATTGGTAAAGATCTTTTCCCAATTTGTTGGTTGTCGTTTTGTCCTATTGACAGTGTCCTTTGCCTTACAGAAACTTTGCAATTTTATGAAGTCCCATTTGTCAATTCTTGATCTTAGAGCATATGCCATTGCTGTTCTGTTCAGGAACTTTTCCCCTGTGCCCAAGTATTCGAGGGTCTTCACCACCATCTCTTCTATTAGTTTCAGTGTATCTGGTTTTATGTGGAGGTCCTTTATCCACTTAGACTTGAGCTTTGTACAAGGAGATAAGAATGGATTAATTTTCATTCTTCTGCATGTTGTCCTCCAGTTGAACCAGCACCATTTGTTGAAAATGCTGTCCTTTTTCCACTGGACAGTTTTAGCTCCTTTGTCAAAGATCAAGTGACCATAGGTGTGTGGGTTCATTTCTGGGTCTTCAATTCTATTCCATTGATTTTCCTGCCTGTCTCTGTACCAATACCATGTAGTTTTTATCACTATTGCTCTGTAGTACAGCTTGAGGTCAGGGATGGGGTTCTAGGGAGGGGAAATGGGAAAAGGGGATGACATCTGTATTGTAAATAAATAAAATATCCAATAAAAATATTCTTAAAAAAGAAAAGCGTTAATACACAAAACAAAATGCTTACATTCAGTTGTATATTTTGTTAATTTTTGAAACAGGATCTCATGTATCCTGGGCTGGCCTCAAACTCTTTATGAATCGAGCGTAACCTCCTGCCTTCACCTCCTCGGTGCTGGAGTTACAGGCATTCACCAGCATGCCTGTTTTATGCTTGAACTGCAAGCTTCATGCATTTTAGACAAGCTCTCTACCAACTGAGCTACGCTCCAAGCCCTACATTAGGTTCTTAGCTACTAATGCAATACCTTCCTAACAATTGAAAGATCATGTTAACAGTAGTTCTTAATTTTAAAGTCTGAGATTGCTGACCTAATTAGAAGGAAACATTTTAAAAGAAGCTTTGTTCTGCTTTTGGAGCAGAGAGTATTTAAAAGTATACTTCGGTGATAGATTACTGATCATCTTTAATATCATATAAACTCCCAACTGCAACTAACAAATGACTGTTGGTTTTCTCGGGTTGTTAGGCATAAGAGAGGGGCACAATGAAACTACCTAACTTCATCTCTCCTTGGGCAAATTATTAGAAATACAAAAGTGCCTCATGGCTATCTCTCAACAAGGTGAGTCCACAGTGCTGGCATGGCTGCTTGTCTGGGACAGAGAAGTAGCAAAAAATGAGGGAAAGCACTGCCTGTTATAAAGAACTCTGGTACAGAGGAAGCTTTAACCTGGAATAGTTGAAAGTTTAGGGTAGTTATGGCAGTGGAATGGAGTTTACAGTCCAGAGGAGCCTGGTGGCTTTGGTGTGTGTGTGTGTCTGTGTGTGCATATGTGTGTATGTGTGTATGTCTGTGTATGCATATGTGTGTCTGTGTATCTGTATGTCTGTGTTTGTGTGTGTATATGTGTGTCTGTGTCTATATGTGCCTGTATGTCTGTGTGTGCTTTTCTTCCATAATTTATTCATGTAACATCACAATCGCATACCCCTCCCTCCTCTCTTCCCAGTCCCACCCTTACAAATCCCTTCTCCATTATCCTCTCTCTCCTCAGAGAAGTCAGAGCCCCCCCCCAACCTTGGGTACCACCCCCACCATGGGACATCTAGTCCCAGCAGGACTAATTACCTCCTCTCCCACTAGAGCCCAACCAGGCAGTCCAGCTAGGGAAGGAGGTCCAGTGGCAGACAACAGAGGCAGAGACAGCCCCCACTCAACTTGTTAGGGGACCCACATGAAGACCAAGCTGTACATCTGCTACAAATGTGTAGGGAGGCTTGCTCTGTGGTTGGTGGTTCAGTCTGGGCCCCACAGAGCCTTGAGGTAATTGTGGTTTTATGTGTCACAGTTATGTGCTAATAAAGAGCTAGATGCCCCAATTTCCAAGGAAAGGGGGATAGTGTGCTTTGATCTGTGTGCAGCAATTCTTCTGTCTACCCTGTCAGAGTCCAGCCTGTGCTGAGCCTAGACTCAATCTGGGGCACAGTTAGGGTGTGCGTTTTTCGGGAGTTGAAGTTTGGGACCTAATAGTAGGTGGTTGGAGTGAAGCATTACAGATTGGCTTTGTATTGAGACTCAGTGATTATGTGCAGGTTTCCTCTCTCCAGTTCTCAGTGCTGAATGTGTCATTGCATGGAAGTGCTACAGTTCACTTACCATTGTCCCTAAAGTGTGACTAAAGCCTCTTTAAACATCAATGTACAAGTTTTTCACGGAAAGGCTTTTTTTTTTTAAGAAAAATTTTAGACACTAACTAGAATATGGCTGCAAGTATATTTCTGGAATTAGTTAATTCCAGATAGAGAATTAAGTGTAGGAAATAAATATATTTGAAAAATGTGTCTTTTCGACTGGATGCCCCAGGAAGAGGGGTTGGGGGAGCACCCTCTCAGCAGTGAAGGGGAGGGAGACAGGGTGAAGAACTCTGTCTGGGAGGGGTAGCATGAGGGGGCAACATTTGTGATATAAATAAATAAAAATAATTAACCATTTAAAAACAAAACAGCATCTTCCTTCTGCCCACTACCCCCATCTTTTCCCCTCTGTGGTTCTCTTCTTCACACCACACCGTCCTCTCAGCTTTTTGCTGTGCTTTCTTGTCCCTCTCTGCCCCTCCCCCAAACCCCTTCATCTTTTTTTCATAGTCCCCTTTCTATGGTGTCCTACAGAAACACACATGTACACATACACAGGTGCATATGAACTTTAAATTATATGTACATGTGAGAGCATGTAATACTTTTCTGAGTCTGGATTGTTTAATTTCACATCATGATGACTAAAAATAAAATTGCAAGTTTATTAAATTTTGAATTGTATGTATTTGCTTTATAGTTTAAGTATATAAGTAAGATTTTCTTTATGAACCAAATACATCCAACCTCTGTAAATTAAAAAGATTAAACATGACATTTTCTATCAACTTTAGCCCGTTCCCAGAACATGGACATCGATTCTAGAATGCTTAGTCATCGCTCATTCAGTTGGAGTGGAAAGCCTTTTTGCTGACTGCATGAAGTAAGTTACCTTCTGTATTCCTGTTAGTGTATGACCTTTATATAGAGTATACATGGATATATGATATGTACTCTTATCCTCCAAAATTTGTGGGCAATTTTAATCTTGGTCTGTGCTTTCAATAAAGTTCAAGGAGTTAGTTCTTAACTAGTTGTACTAATTGAGAAGGCATGTGGATTTAGATGTTACTTAAAATATGTGGGGTCATTTTCATTGACAATGAACCATGACTATGTAAACATGTGCACACAATCATCATGGGTTTAAGTACCTGTTTCTGTGGATGGACTGTTCGTGCAGATGTGGCTGTGGGTATGGGTGCGGGTGCGGGTGTGGGTGCAGTGGGGGGTGCGGGTGTGGGTGCGGGTATGGTTGTGGGTATGAGTGTGGGTGCAGGTGGGGGATGCGGGTGTGGGTGTGAGTGCGGTGGGGGGTACGGGTGCAGGGGCAGCTGTGAGTGCGGTAGGGGGTGTGGGTGCAGGTGCAGTGGGGGGTGTGGGTGCGGTAGGGGGTGTGGGTGCAGGTGCAGGTGTGATGGGGGTGTACGTGCAGCTGTGGATGTGGTGGGGGTGTGGGTGCGGTTGCCGGTGCGGGTGTGATGGGGGATTCTTGCAAGCATCGTGGCCAGCAAGGAAACAAACCTTGGAAAGATGAGAATAAAAACTCCATTAGGCCTGACTGGATCAAGCTGTGGGAGTCTGGTCCCAGGTGGTTACTGTCAGCATTTTTAAACACAGTTCTATTAGGAAACAGTTTCCAGGCAACAGTCATTCCAATTCTAGGTGCACACTAAAGTGTGGCTACTTAGAAACTCCTTTACAAAGTGCATGTGATATCCCCCCCTAAGGATGGGCTCTATTAACTGGGGACTAGGGAAGGCGAGTCTGGAGGATTTAGGTAAGGTCTGGCTCTAGATATAGCAAAGGTTACCAGTCTTTAATAACATTCACTCCAGGAAGCATATTTTATTTCTTCCACTGAGGAGGTACCCTGCATGATTAACATCCCTAACTTCTCCAGTGTTTATCAGTAAGCACAGCAACCTCATATCCTCTACATTTCTGGAAAGGAACATAATTAAGTTTATCTTAGAGCCCATTAAAGTAAGTGAGGGTCAGTCACAGTACGTGCTACTGTTTATATGATTGAAAACACAAATATTGACTTTAAAATTTTTTATTCCTCTAACTTGGATTGTTTTATTTTAACAGCTGCATTATAAGCCATTTTGCAAGATTTTGGTCAGAAAGAAGCTTTGCAAATGTTCCTCCTGAGATTCAGAAAACTTGTCTCAGTATGCAGATTCAGTCCTTAGTGAGTATAGTCTGAATGCTGTGCTTATGTACCCATCAGAACATGTATGAAACCTGTGCTTATGTGTGCATCAACGGGGTGGGACCTGTGGAAGATGGAGCATGGTGCCAGCTTGGGACAGTGCCTTCCCAGGCTGAGTCAGTGTCTTCTAAGATGCAGTGTGTGCCTAAATCAGCCTTGGATTTATGGTGCTGTTTTTCTTGTAGTCAGAATTTCTGTATCCAGAAGTTAAGATGGGTAGCTGGGAACAGCTCCACACGGAATTTTTCTGGGGACCCGTTAGCAAAAGTTTGCCTCCTTTCAGGGCAACTCTGGGGTCTGCTGATGTAGTGATCTTAGCACCAGAGAGAATGTATCCATTTGGGAGTAGACACAGCAAGGATTCCACAGAATTAACAGCTGAGACAGCCTTGCTCTGGCTGGTTTGTGAATCCACTATGAAGAAGTAGTGGTGATAGGCTGAGCCTGACTGTTAAGGGAGACAGGGCTGCAGCTCTCCATTCCGTATAAGGAAGAGCACATCTGGGGGATACATCGTACAGCATTGTAACATGTTTGTATCCTGGCTATGCTAACGTCTACCTCCTGAGTTTCCTTCTGTGTCTATTTCCAGTTAGAGTTACCACACAGTCAGGGTCATGACCAAAACCATCTTAGGGAGGATCCTTTCAGACATTGCTCCATCACTGCAGGAAGTCAGGGCAGCAGCCCAGAGCAGAAGCTGATGCAGAGGTCATGCAGGAGGAATGCTTACTGGCTTGCTCCCAATGGCTTGCTCAGCCTGCTTTCTTACAGCACCAGGAAGAACTACCAGCCTGGAGGTGGCACTGTGCATACAAGTTGAGCTGGGCCCTCCCACACAGTTATCAATCAAGAAAGTGTACCATAGGCTAATCTGATCTGGGAACTTTATCAGTTGAGGTTTCCTCTTCCTTCTGTCTTCTCTTGTGGCTTTCAAACTACATCATCACTTATAAAGGCTGCTTAAGGGGGGGGGGGGGGGGGGGGGGGGGGCGCGGGGGCTCCCCCTCTCCCTGCGGGGGGGGGGGCGGGCGGGGGGGGGGG